AAACTAATGAATGTAATTTAAAAATTCTCCTTTGTCACCGTGGGTTTTATTTCTAGTGTTTCCATTTGATTTCTTCTAATATTTTCCCTCTTTCTGCTAAAATTGCCTACTGGAATCTTGCTTGCTGTCTGTCATTATTATTATTGGCCTTTAATATTTTAATTATACTTATTATAGTCATTTAACATTTCCTGCTTATAACTTCAACATCTGTCCATCATTGAGTCTAGTTACAATTACTTTGTTCCTTTAGGCTATTTTTCTTCTTTTTATGTCCCTTATGGTTTTGTTTTTGCTTTGTTTCATTTTGAAGTCCAGACCTGTTGTTTATGGATATGGAACAGATAACTATGAAGCTATTTTTTTTTCTTCTGCATTTATCTTTATCTTGTTTTTAGTTATTTCATTATCTCCATATGATTTTTCTGTCCCTTTACTCACTTTCTTCTAAAATATTTGTTTTATTTATGTGTAGAGTAGTTACCTACATGCATGCAGTGTCTGAAGAGGCCAGAAAAGTATGTTGGATTCCCAGAATTAGAGTTATAGGTGGTTGTAAGCTGCCTGATGTGGGTGCTGAGAGCCAAACTCAGGTCCTCTGGAAGAACAGCCAGTGCTCCTAACCACTGAGCCACCTCTCCAGGCTTCACCTCTTACATCTTATCTCATCTTCAGCAAGAGGATGAACTTAGTCTCTGTCATTCCACATTGGCCAAGAGTGGACACTCAGATCCATGATTTCAGCTTTGGACTCGAATCCAAAGCTTCGCACATTTTAAGTATGACAGCTATTGCTTTACGGAAGACTTTAAGGCACTTCCCTGAGGTACAGAGAGCCTTTGCAACAAATGGTCATGAAAAATGTGGAATTTCAAGAGTAAAACCTCACTTTCTACCTTATATCCTACAGAAACATTACCTAAAAATGAATCATAGATCTAAAGGCAAGAGGCATGGCTAGAAAGTCCCTAGAAAAAAAACATAGAACATCGCCACAATCTGGTGAGCATAAAGACTTCCTAAAGTGGACACACATGCACTAACTAAAAACTGAAAATGCAATACATTAGTCTTTGTCATAATTGAATTCTTCCTCTCAAAAGATATCAGTAAGAAATGAGGAGTTGGAGAGATGATTCATTAGTTTAGAGCACTTGCTGCTCTTGGAGAGAACCTGGGTTCAGTTCCCAACATCTACGTAAGCCTACTCACAATCACCTGTGATCCTAGTTCTAGGAAATCTGATATCCTCTTCTGGCCTCCTCTGGCATTACACAAACATGTTCACTTACATACATGCAGGCAAACACTCATACACATAAAAAAAATTAAATCCTAAAACAGAAAAGGCAAAAAGAAAGAAAAGAACATAAAAATAAAGGGGAAGTCATGGTCCAAGAGAATATTGTGTGTGTGTGTGTGTGTGTGTGTGTGTGTGTGTGTGTGTCTTTTCCATTACCATAACAAAATCCTGGGGGGGGATCAATTTTAAAAGAGGAAAGGTTTCTTTTGGTTCACAGTTTCAGTCCATGGTCACATGGCTTCATCATTTTGGGCTCTAGGCAAGGCAGATCACCTTGGTGAGGAGTGTGTGATAGAGCAAAGCTCTCACCTCATGGAAGCCAGGAAGCAGAGAGAAAGAGGAGGGGGCTGGCTTCCTGGCATACCCTTCAGGGGCATTTCCACAATGCCTAAAATTCCTTTTTACTAGCGGCCTGGAAACCCAGCCTGTAACATATGGATCAATGGAGGACATTCCAGAACTGAAAGAGAGGGAGAGAAATGGAAAGAGAATGGGAGAGAGGATAGATGGATGATGGGTAGATGAATGATAGATGGATGGGTGAATGGATGATGGATGGATGATATGTAGATGGTAGTTGGATGGATGATAGGTAAGAGACAGATGATAGGCAATAGATAGATAATGGAATAAAAATACCTTAAAATAATATAAGCATCTAGGCATGGTGGTACATGCCTTTAGTCCCAGCACTTGGGAGGGAGGCAGAAGCAGGCAGATCTCTGTGAGTTCAAGGCCAGCCTTGTCTGCATAGCTAGTTCCAGGCCAGCTGGGGCTACAGGGAGACCCTCTCTCAAGATTAAAAAAAGCATTGTGCTGGCATCTCAGTACCTGTAATGTTCTTGTGATGGTTACTGTTGTCAAGTTCATCACATTGAGAGATACTTAGGAAATCAGTAAAGCACAGTTATGCTTATATCTCTAAGCCTTGTCCAGAGAGGATTAGATCATGAGAGCTCTGACATAGACAGTCGTTTAATCCATTGATGGAGCCAATATTTGAATCAAGTTTGGGAAAAGCTGTGGAAATAGAAGGTGGGGCCTGGTTGGAGGAAGTGGGTGGCTAGGGATATCTTTGAGGGGTATGTTTTGGGTATATTTTGTGCTCAACCCCTTTCTGTTTCATCTTTTTTGTTTCCTGTCTGCCACACCCCTCCTCCATGTGCCTTGACATGAACTAAAAGCAATGGAGTCAGACAGCCATGGACTTCAAACATTGAAACTGTGAACCAACATTAATCCTTCTTTGAGAGCCTTAGGTTATTTCTCTCTTTTCACAACCACAAAACTGTGACTAACACAGCTGCTCCTCTCTGGTGATCCTGCCTCAGATCTGTGCTCCATGCTTGCCTCCTTGCTGTCTTCTGGGGGGGTTTGTTGTTGTTGTTTGTTTGTTTGTTTGTTTGTTTATGTGTATGAGTGTTATGCCTGCATGTAAGTGCACCTGTGTCATGCAATGCCCGAGGAGGACAGAAGAGGCAGTTGGATCCCCTGGAACTAGAGTTACAGACACTTGTTAGCTACCATGTGGGTGCTGGGATTCGAATCCGGGTCTTGTGCAAAAACAGTCAGTGTTCTTAACTGCTGAGCCATCTCTCCAGCCCGCTTTTTTTTAAATAAATTGCTTTATAATTATGCTTAGGGCTTAGTGTCTGCTCCTTGCCCTCTACAAATAAAGTACTTCAGGATAATGATGTTTGTTTCTTCACTGATGTTATTCAAATGGTTTATAATACAGTTTGGTACATAAAAATGTTAGGTCACAGATCCTGTAGCTGTCTTCCTCCCCCAAATCAGGCCACAACCCCCTGCAGCTTCTCCTTCTCTGGACAGAGAGTTGATAAGCAACCCAGTGTGGCCCTTGCAGCTCTCACAGAGTTAAGTTCTTTCCTTCCCCTTTGCAGCTGCAAGCCCAGCTCCCCTCAGACACCCAGGCCCAAGACAACTTTGACAACTACTTTTATCTAGTGCCTTCCTGCCTCATGACTAAGTTAGATGGTGTGAAACTACCTCATTCCCCCTAAACCTATAAGAACCAGAAAGTCCCTCTCAAGGATTTTCCTCTCTGGTCAGAACCCATCATGGCTGCCTGTGGCCTGGTGCTGGAAACTCTTCTTTCTTTCTCTTTTCTTTTTCAATTGAGGGAGAAGAGGAACTTTAAAGGTTTATTTATTTTATGTGTGTGTGTTTGTGTTCTTGAGTGTATGTACACACATCACGTGCATGCCTGCAGAGTCCATAATAGACCACTGGATTCATTGGGATTGGAACTACAGGCAGTTATGAGCTGCCATGTGGGTGCTAGGAACCCAACCTTGGTCCTCTGCAAGAGCAACCTGAACTCTTAACCACTTAACCACCTCTCCATCCCCACTAATAACTTCTTCAACAAAGCTCTTTTTTTTTAAAGGGGTCTTTGGGCCCGCTTTCTTTCTAGGTCCCATTTAGGAGGGCAAAAAAAGGAAGGAATTTAAAGTTTAGAAACAAGGGTCAGAGCCAGACCTACAACAGGCAAGAAATGGGTTCCCTTGATTCAGGAAACCCAGCAAAGGCCAATAAGCTCTTCCTCCAGGAGTTAATATCTGCCATCTGAAGAGGGGTCAGTCTGATCTTATATGTGAACTCTGCTGCACACAGCTGCAAGAGTTAACTCCATGCCAAGGTCCAGTGTCCTTGAGGGTCTCTTTTTCCAAGATTATTTTCTCAGGCATGTGGGTGAGTGATCTATAGCACTAAAGGAGACAAGTGAGCTCCATAAATCGTCTCCCTCAGTCCAGGGAGTGACCAGTTGATAAGGCTTGAGCAAGGCCAGTCTTGGCCAGGCTGCCAATTTAGGGCTAGACACTTTAAGAGATTTATGGCTTTCCCTAATGAGGCTTGTGGTTCTTCTAAAATTCACATTTTCTTTCATTAGGAACCTGTAACATATATTATCATTTATATAACAGGTAGGTATCTGGTACCATTTCGGTAACTGCAGGAGAAATAGGCATGTTCTTGGCCTCACACATTCACAGATGCAGTTACAAGACACTGCGCTCCACAAACTTCCCCATCCAGAACTCCACAGATGCTGGGAACCCAGGGCCCTTCCATGGCATCTGGGCCTCAGGGGGGCTGAGCCCACCTCCCAGCCCAGGCAAGCCGATGGAACCTCAAATCCCAGAATCCCTGGGTTTCAAAGTGGACTACATCTCCCAGAGGCCTCTGCGCCCGCTCTCCGGGCCGAACCCCGCCCCTCCTGCACCTCCCGGGACCCGGGCGTGTGTGGCTCGAGGCCACCGGGTCGGCGCTTTCCCTCGGGCTCTGCGGACGGCGCTCAGGGCCTCGGGCGGACGTGCGGCCGAAGCCGGACGGGAGGTGAGCGGCTGGGGCTGGAGCGCGGGCCTGGAGCGGCCTGGGCCTGATGCGCCGCCAGGGTGGACGGCTCCGCTCGGCCTCCCCGGGGCGTCGGCGGCGGGTTCCCGGCCCGGCTGCCTCGGCCCTGAGCCGTGGCTGACCCGCTCCCGACGGACGCCGCCGGGCACCGGGCTGCAGTTCGCGCCGCCGCCCGCCCCGCGGAGCCGCCAGGTCGGTCGCGGAGCTTTTCTCCCGGAATCTGGACCTCGCTGCCGACAGCAGCAGAGAAACGGGGCGGGCAGGAGCTTGAGGTGGAGAATCGTTCCAGGTCGGGAGACAGCGGGCGCCGGGATGCGAGGGAACCCGAGCGTCTCCTCCTCGCCGGTGCCCTCGGGCCGTGGCCCCATTCCAGCTTCAGTTTCCCGATCTGCAAAATGGGCTGCAGCGGTGCCACCTGGAGCCGTGGGCTGCCGTGTAGGGCGAAGCCTGGCCCATGTGAGTCCCCACCCTGGTGGAGCCCATGGTCGCCTCCCTGGCTGCCTGGAAAGTCTCGGATCCCGAGTGGGGGTCCCGGCCTTCTGTCCCTGACAGGAGGTGGAAGGCTTTCAGGGCTGCTGCCTCTGAGCGCTACCCCGTCCTCTTCCCTCAGGTCCGCCGTCTGTCTTGGAGCCGCACCCATCCTTTTGGAAGAACCCAGAAAGAACATGGCTCCTGAGCAGAGGCAAGCGAGGCCCCAGGTGAGCTAGCCCGGCTCAGGTCTTAGTGGAGTTTGGTTTGATTTTCCTGCTGACTCAAGTTCTCTGCCCGGTTCAGCCTTCCCTGGGGTTTGGAGCGCATAGCTCTACCCTGGAGGAGCTGGTCCCCCTTCGTGGGCGGTGGAGTCCTGGGGAGCCCCAGGCCCACAGTCTCCAGTGATAGACACTGTTCTCCGACGAAATCTGCTGTGTGCATCCTAACGACAGGTGACTTCCTGGTCATCTGGGACAGACCGGGCATCACACCTGGGAACACTTCTGGCCCCGCCTCCTTCACGAGGCTGCATTTTTTTCTCTGCCCTATTTTAATTCGCCGTGAGAATCTTTAGGATTTTCCATAGGCTTCTCCAGCCCAGAGTTGTTTCATTTTCTTCTCACTTCACTGTATGGATCATATGTTTTGCTTGTAACTTTCCTCTGGGTGTGTGCACATGTGTGTATGTGTGATGTGTGGGTGCTTGTATGTATGCATGTTTGCATGTGTATACACACTTGGATGTGCGTGTATGGAGGAACAAAGTTAATGCTGGTGTTTTCCTGGAAGGCTCTGGGCCCTATATGTTGAGGTAGGGTCTCTTGAACCCAGAACTCCCCCGTCAAGCTAATCTACCTAGCCAGCTTGCTCTGGGGCTCCAGTCTCTGTCTCTCCCTCTCTGTGCGCTCTGGGATGGAGGAGCACTGAGCACAGAGGTCACTAACTGGATTTTAACCCATCTCTATTATTGTTTGTGGGCCTTAGGCAAGTAAGCCCTCCGCTCTCTGCCTGTTTCCTCACCAATAAAGTGAAATAACACTGTCTCCCTTCTCGGGTAGGTCAGAGGTTGATGTGGTTAATTCATGGAAAGTGTTTAGGTCAGACCAGGCACATAGTGATGACTCAGAGTGTGGTTCCTGTGGTACTAAGTGGCACTATATTAAGAATAATACTGGAGGAAACTTGCACGGTGTTTCTAGGACCAGAGAACTCTTGGCCTTTCCTCCTCCTTCATCTCACAGTAAGACCAGATGTGTATTGAGAGTTTTCTGATCTCAGTGAACTGAGGAATGCCTGAGGCTGCATTTTCTTCTCTTGTTCTCACAACAGCACAGTTAGGAGCCCATTTTACATATGAGGAAACAGGCTTGGGGAAATGAGGCAACCCAGATTCATTCCCAGGTACATCTGGCCCTCAGTCTATGCCTGGTCATCCAGCTGCTCCATCTAATACAACTGTCAGAGAACATGCAGACCGAAGCTCATGTTACCAGACACTAGCAATCTGGCATCATCTTCAGAGCCATAAAGGGCTTGGGCTACACCATTTCCTTTAAGGCTTTCACATTCCATTCCAAGAGTCAAGATGTGTTCCTACCCTGAACCTTCATGTCTGTGTGTGACTAAACCTCCCTTCTGCTCCCCGTGCTTGGTACCATGGTCTGTGTGTAGTACTCATGTCTAGAAGTTTACAACCAAAGAAAGAGAAGCTTCTGGATTGGAAAGCTTCCATGGTGCTGCCACCTGTGAGGCTTGTTCATCAGGTTTTGGCCGCCCTGGACCTCCCATTCCTGTCTCTAAAGGGAAGACTGAAGTTGGAGATGGTGTGTGGTCCTCCCAGACCAGATACACAGCTTCTTTTCATTGAAATTTATTTCATACATTTCCTGGTCTGCAAATTGGGATTATGGACTCTTTGAGGGCAAAGATTATTTTTTGTATTCCTTTCTTGTGTATGTATTGTGTACTCATGGTGAAGACTAAAAGAATTACAAATGTATTAGGCTAGTGAGATGAGGCACTTCCCACCAAGTCTGACTACCTAGTCTGTCCCTAGGACCCATGTGATAGAAGGAGGGAACCATCTCCTGCAAGTTGTCCTCTAACCTCCATATACATATTGTGGCACACATGCACACACACCTGCATATACACATACAATAAACAAATGTAATTAAAAAGTACATAGAAGTAAAAAACAGAAAGAAAACTGAACTCCCTGTATAGTCTCAAAACAACCATGATCCATTCTTCAGCATATGAAAAGCGCCTACCGCTTTGAAGACTCCGTGGGATTTGAGGAGCTGTGTCCTAGGAAATGACAAGGACCAAATATGGATCTCACACTTTGGTACCTACCTATGAAAGAAAGAGATGCCACGGGAACTGTCACATGAAGATAGCACTGGCAGCCCTTTAGGTGTGCATCTGTCACCGTCATTTTTAGTCAACATTTTGTGTATGTGCTCATGCGTGTACATATAATACTGTTTTAACTTTTTTAAAAAAGTGTATATATGGGCACCTGAGTATATGAAAGTGTACCGTGTGTCTGCCGTATCCTTGGAGGCCAGAAGAGGGCATCAGATCCCCGAGCTGGAGTTACAGGCAGTTGTGAGCTGTCATGTGGATGCTGGGAACCAAACCCAGGTCCTCTGGAAGAGTCACAAGTACTCTTAACCGCTGAGCCGTCTCTCCAGACCCCCATTTTAACCTTCTAATTGCAGTAAAATATACATAGCATATAATAAACCATTTTAGCCCTTTTGGGGTATATGATTCAGTGGCACTTTAAGTATACACGTTCACATGTGGAGCAGCCATCTCACTGCCCATCTGTTTCATAGGTTCTCCCATCTCTTCTTAGCCCAGGGAGGGGCAATGAGGGCCAGCTTGCTGGCTGGCTGGGAACATGGCCTGCGCTGGATCTCCAGTCCTGCCACTGACCGGCTGGGGACTTGTCCCAATTTCTTGTGCTCTCTCCATTTCTTTCTTGTGTAGAATAGGGACAGTGATAGCTCCTTCACAGGGGTATGATGAAGACTGAATATTGATTCATGGAAGATTAGCGTCAAGCTGTCACCAGTACTTAGCCAGTAGCCAGTATGAAACCGCTGATAGTCACTTAATGTTCTTCATTACTGTTGTCAAGCTCACATAGGCAGACAGAGCCTTTAGGATATCTAACCGAGTCTTCCTCAGTATCACTATTAAAACCACCATGATAAATATCCTTGTATATGTAATTTTGTGACATTACAATACAGATCAAAATCAGTGAGTTAGCAGATTTCCAAGCATTTCAATATGTATTATCAAACCTCCATCAGGAAGACTATTTTAATTAACACATTTAGTTAATTAAATTAACATGTATTTTAATTAATTAACACATTAAGCACTAATGGCTCAAATCCCCGTACACAGTCCAGGTTGTGTCACTGAATCGCCATTAAATGGATGACCTGGACCCTTCAGAACCTTGAATGGCACCAGCAGCATCTCATGGTGCATCCCTTACCCTGTGGGAGGCTGGTCCTGTGAGCTGGAATAGCTTTCCCTTGCAGGTGTCAGTGACGTTTGAGGATGTGGCCGTGCTCTTTACTCGGGATGAGTGGAAGAAGCTGGATCCCTCTCAGAGAAGCCTGTACCGTGAGGTGATGATGGAGAACTACAGTAACCTGGCCTCACTGGGTGAGGAGTCCCCTGTGGACGCAGAATTTGGAAGTGGGGAGATCTCAGCACCTCCTTCCCTGAATAAAAGCTGTGGATCATCAAAAAACCTTAGTGTTATATAAATCAGATCTCCATAAATATTGAAATGTACTTCCCCACTACACTACTGGAATGGCCAGTGTGCAGCAGTGGAGGGGGGGGATGTTGACCGTATCCACGTCCCTCTGGATGAAACAGGAGATGTTTCTTCATGGTCCAGGCATCATGCTCCACCATCAATTCTTCTGTAGGTGGGTGGTTCACCCCTCGGCAGAGAGCTCTGTTCAGTCCCCAGACCCACCCTTGTCTTTCCCACTTGCCTTTTCTGGAAGTCAGCAGACTTTCTACAGTGAACCAGGTGGTAAATATTTTAGGCTTTGCATGTCTCACATGATTTCTGTAACATTTCTCTTAGTCTTCTGTGGTTGTCTGGATTTTAGTTAATTAATTAATCTTGTCTATGAGCAGGATTCCCGTTCACCAAACCTAAGGTGATCTCCCTGTTGCAGCAAGGAGAAGAACCCTGGAGGACAGAGAGAGCAAGTCCTGGCGGTCCCTTTCTCGGTGAGTGAGCAGGCAGGCCTAGAGTCTCCACAGGCCCCAGTGTGCTTCAGAAGAGGGTGCAGCTTGGAGTGTTGGTTGGGAAACGTTGGGTTTTCAGTCCTCAAGAAGTGATAAGGGTTGGCATGCATTAAGCTCTGGTTTGATTCCTAGCACCACAAACAATAAGTAGGGGTGAGGGAGGGGAAGCCAGAGCTGAGCCTAGCTAGAGCTTCCTCTCCTCTCCCAGCTGCTCCTCAAGTGGCTCTCTGAGTATTTATTCTTGTCCTCCTCTGTTGTTTACGAGAAGGCTACGTTTTCATCAACTCATTCAAGAACCATGGTCTGTTTAAGGATTACAAAGAATTTGTTCCAATTGAAGTCCGAAGTATGTAAAAGGAGAGGAGGTGGGGGATGAGATTGTATGGCTATGTAGGGGTCCTGTATAAGCACTTTGGTACAGTTCCAAAAGATTTGTACTGTCCTGTGGATAACTGGACATATTTGAGGACTTTAAATATAGCATTATATAACCTTTGGTAGCTTGGAGAAGCTGCTTTTGAATTAGAGAAGGAAAAAAAAAAGCCTTTTAATAAAATAGCTGAAGAGACTGGCCTGTCCTCACAATGGCAGCATTGGTGCCGCAAATGAGAAAGGGCAGAAACAGCTCGTAAGCCTGAAGGAGGATTCGGGGTGCTAATCTTGACTGCAGCGATCTTGGAACAGTCCTTCCTGGTAGGAGCCCACTTTCCACAAGTTGAAGGGCCTGCACATCTTGGAAGGACCTAAGATTATGAACTGGCCAGAACGCCAGTCCAACACCACAGACAGCTCCAGTCCTACCCCACAGATAGCTCCAGTCCTACCCCACGGACAGCTCCAGTCCTACCCCACAGGCAGCCTGTGGTAGAAAAGCCTTTGCTCTAGGGACAAGACTCCCTAGAACATCTGCTTGCCACAAAATAGACTGATTTTGTTTGTTTGAACTCTTCTCTTTTTTTTTTTGGTCTTCTTGAGACAGGGTCTCCCTGCTCCCTGTAGCCCCAGCTGTCCTGGAACTCACTATGTAGACCAGGCTGGACTCGAACTCACAGAGATCCGCCTGCTTCTGCCTCCTGAGTGCTGGGATTAAAAGCCTGCACCACCACGCCCAGCTCAAAATATACTTTTACAGTCATTTTTCCTTACAAAAACTAATCACAAGTAAGAAAACAGCAAAACAAACTTATAAGAAAAACAACTTATGTTATCACTGGGTATATAAGTTTTAAATTGAGACACAAGCGCTGATGCTTAAAGGGTCTCTATCTTATGTGGGTGTTTTGCTTAAGAGCTGACCTGAAGTGTAAGCACAGGTTGTGCCTTTCTGGAACAACTGTACGAAGAATCACAGGTGGGCTGCCTGTGCATCACATAGATTTGGTTCATATCCAGAAGTGGGACTATTCTGGAAGTCTGCAGTTTTTAATTCCGAGGATGATCTAGGAGTCACCTCTCCAGTGAACAACTACTCGCTCCTCTTGTCCTCGTCTTTCCTCTGTCTTCTTTAATGTAAGAAGTTGCTGAGCAAAACTGTGAGGGATGGTCAGTGCAGGGTAGCCTGTGTCCTATCAGTGAGGTCTCCGGGTTTGAGTCTGCTCACAGGAGAGGTGGCTTTTCCTTTTTTCCAAGGTGCCACAGGGTCAGCAACAGCCCTGCATCATCTCATACTGCTCCCATACTCAAAACTTGTAGTGACTTCCATCCCAGGGAGTGTGAGCCAAAGTCCTTGTCAGAGAGCTGTGTGATCTGCTGCTCCTCCACTCTCATCTCCCTCTGCTCGGCCCTTTCCATTTTCCAGGACCCTGGCTGCCCAGGCTGCCTCTTCAAAGCTCTCGTACTTGCCTGTTTCTCTGTGTGACCTTTCTTCTGGATGGCCAAGTGCACTTGTGGCTGGTTCCTGAACCGGCTCAGCTCGTCCCAGGCACAGTCCTCCATGTTCCTCATCTGGCTCTACTTTCCTTCCCTCACCATCACCGCTCTACACACTCACTTATCTTTTCCTCTGCTCCTGTGTGTGGAAACTGCCTGTTTCACTGACACCCATTTTCCAAATGCTGGCAGAGTCCAGTTACATAGAGAACACAGGAATGGCTCGCCATTTAAGTAAGAATGAAAAAATACCCTATATACTGAAGGTCTGGTCATGCAAACGATTGTCTTTCCGGTTTGTAGCAACCATCACTGCAGATCCTTTACGTCATAGCAGTTTGGTTTATTTGTGGCTTATATGTGAAGAGCAAAAATAAGTGCAAGGAGTAGTGCTAATCTGGGTGGGGGTGGGAAGACTTGTTCTGACACATTTATGAATGAAATGATTGACAGCTGGGAATTGCTTTAGCACTAGTTCAGTGGAAGGGATTGGAGCTTTGCTTGAATGTGCTAGGGACGCCGCATCTAAGAATAGCCGGTAACTTCAAGCCAAGTAGAATCCATTGCCTTCCAGTCCTAGAGGCTGAAAGTCAAGGTATGACACCCTGTTCTCTCTGAGACTGGGTAGAATCCTGTTTTCCCAGTGTGTCGTGATGGTGCCTTGTAAAATCTTGGGATTCCTAGGCTGGTGGCTGTGTCAGTCCTTCCCCTCCCAGCCTCAAGTTCTGCCCTCTGTGTATAAGTAGGAGGGACGCTTTCAAAAGAAATGTGGGAAATTGGCTTGGGCTCAAAGACTGACACAACCTTTGCCCCAACCCTTTAAACCCCATTTTGGATGTCAGGAACTTATCTAACCACCACCCCTTCTCTGCCTGCACCCTTACCATCTTGGAGAGTTCGGACGCTATCTAAGCTTAAACCACTCACTTCTAGCTTGCATCTTTGTTGTAGAAATGATCCCATTGTATTATGATTCCTTCCTTCCTTCCTTTTGACAGATCTAACTCTACTCCAATCTGGCCAGTAATGTACTGGGTAACCAGGGATGGCCTTGAACTAGCAGCAATCCTTTTGCCTCAGGCTCCTGAGTGCTAGGACTACAGGCTTGAGTTACCACACCCAGCTGTGATTGCCTGTCATTTTATTTCTATGCCAAACTGAAAACTCCTTTAAAGACAAGCTGTTTCCTTTTATTATGGGATTGATAGTATATCAAGGCTCACCAGTGCCTAGGGTACAGCTAATACACATGAGGTATTTTTTAAAATATTTGATAAATGAATAAAATAAGGAATAATCAATACTTTTTGAAGGAGCAAGAGGTCTGTGTGGTAGGAAGGATAAGTCTAGTTGGAAACAGTACTAGAACGGTGAGACACTGGGGTCAGAGAACTGCAATATGAGTAAGTTGCAATGGTCCCTCTAGAGTAAAGAGGTCCTGAACTGGGTGGATAGAGGTGGGTGTTAGAGACATTTCACAGGTGGGATTTAAGAGAATTTGATAGCTGCCTTCATTTGTAGTACAGGGGAGAACAGAGACTGAAGCTTTTTTTTTTTTTTGGTCTTTCTGAGACAGGGCCTCACTCCCTGTAGCCCCAGCTGGCCTGAACTCGCTATGCTATGGAGACCAGGCTAGCCTTGAACTCACAGAGATCCGCCTGCCTCTGCCTCCCCAGTGCTGGGATTAAAGGTGTGTGCCACCATGCCCGGCAGAGACTAGAGATTGAAAGACGAGAAACTAAAATTTTACAGGAAAGTAATTAAAAAGGTTACAGTGACAATATGAACTAAGAAAAGGCCTTTGAAAATAAATTGCTCTGGGAAAAAAAACAGAAGGTGCTAGATGACTTCGTGAAGTGCAGGTTACATGGGACTTACAGGCAAAGGCACATCCTGAGTGGCAGCGAGGCGAGGACTCCTGCATCCAGAGCAGGACCAAGGAGCTTATATGCCAAGCTGGGCAAAGGTAGCGTGTGGCCAACTGGAATGTGTCTAGACTTCCTCAAAACTGTTAATAAATCCCGAGAAGTGCCAGCAGCAAACATCAGCTGCCTCCATTGGTGACTCTGTCTTACGGGGTCTGAATGCATGCCAGGCCATGAGTGGAACGGAAGTTAGGATCAGGATGGTTGTAGCCATGGCAAGCTGGCTCTCGAAGGAAGGAAGTATACTGGCTTCAGAGTTGGGCAGGCTAATGAAGATACTGAGTTAGGGTTCTAGCAGCCAGTTGCAAATACTTCTGTGAAGTACTCTGAACAGAGCAGGGCAGTCACTCACATAAGGGCTCTAAAGTGGATGGAATTGTGTTGGGAAGCGGACTGAGGATAGAGTGTAGCAAGAGCCCAGGGAGGAGAATCTAGATCTGGTGGAAGAACATCAGGGCAGTAATCATTAGCAAGGTCATTCTGGGCTCCGAACTTGGGACCTACGTCTTAGCCTTGTTCATGATGTTGTAACTCAGCCTCTGTGCCTGATTCTTGGAGGATGAAAAGGTAGAATGGCACTTCAGGAGATATATTTGCAGATGTGTAGAAAATTCTGAGTGAATCATAAAGGAACAGTTAGTGTGGCCCCAATCCAAGACTCATGTCCCAGTGGAGAAGGCAAATTCAGAATAAGACATTGTGAGACAAGTGTGCTAGCATTGGTGTGGACCCTGGAGGCTCTGGTTAACTTCTGTTACAAAACAAGCAAAAACCCCAAAATCTCATTTCTGAATTCTCTTAAACCAGACTTAACAAACAGGCTTCCATTTAGTTCCTCCATGGCTTCTTGCTTATTGTGCCACTAAAATGACTGCTGTTAAGACCCCAACAAACTCCATCTTGCCACAATCAGGGATTTTAGTCTTCAGGGTAGTTTGTGTGTAAGTGTGTGTATTCATGCTCCCTATGTGTGCGTGTGGTGAGGGCTTCATGTAGAGGCCAGGGGTCATCAGGTGTCTTCCTTAGTCTCTATCTTTTGAGACCAATTTCTCACTGAATGTGGAGCTTGCCAATTCAGCTAGACCAGCTGGTCATCAAGCCCCAGGGAGCCTGCCTCTTAACTCTCAGCACTGGGATTCCAAGTGTGCGTCCTCACAGCCTGCATTTTTATGCAGGTTCTGGAGCATTGAACTCAGGTCCTCATGCTTGCACAGACTTTACCAACTGAGCCATCCATCCTGCTCAGTCCTCAGGGTGTTTGCCACAGTTGATATTTGCTCTTCTCTGCCTTCTGGAGCACCATCTTCTCCCAATTTTCTTCTTAAATAACCAAGTGATTTCTTTCAGTTCTTTGGTTTTAAATAGAATCTGTATGCTGACTCCCACTTGCCTATCTTTAGCTCTGACCTTTCCCCAGATCTCTAGAATAACACGCAGTGATCTCAGTGTCTCCTTTTGATTTCTACTGAGGCCCCTCAGCCATCACAACACCTCAGATTTGCCATTTTCTTCATCTTCCCTTTTTTGGTAACTGGTACCATGAGTTACATTTTTCAGGCTAGATACCTAGGTGTGATCCCACTTGCCATCTTTCCTCCTTGTTACCCTATTCGTCCACTGATCTCAGTTCCGTTAGCAGCTTCATCTGCATTTCCCCCCTTCTGACCTAAACAACACAGTGGCTTTCTGAGACCCTCTCCCTGCTTCCACTCCTGCCCCAAGTCAGTGTGCTCTCTGTCAACTCAAGTGAGCACATAACTCCCCTGGCATCCTTTCATGCTTAGTATAAAATTCCACAGCTTTCACCACGACCAAGGAGGGCTTCTGTGTTCTGCCTCCACCAGACGCTCTTATTTTACCATCTTTCCTTTTGCTAAGTGCATTCGAAGCAAGCCAGACTCTTGCTCTTCTCAGACGTCAATTATACTTTTGTGTTTCCTGATGGCTTTGCCTTGGACATCCTTCAGGAACCCACATGGTTTCTATTTCCTTACTTATTATTTTTCACTTCATTCCCTCTCCCCAGTGCGCATGCACACACTCTCATGCACATATTCAAAAGCTTCTGGAAGGTTAGAACCTTGTCTTACTCAGCACATTCTCTGCATTGCCCTAGAACATTATCTAGCCATAGTATTCACTCAGCGAGTGATTGTAAATGAAAAGGATTTTCCATACAAATGTAAAGATAACCAAGCAAGAAAAGAAAATGGACTGCTCCAGAAACTGCATGTCGTTTAGTATACCTGCCAGGGGAGGGAAGGGATGACAGATATAGATGATTCCCTTGTTCACCTTGTATTAATCTAGCATATACAAGGCCCTGTATATGAAGTTTTAGCAGAGGGTTTTAAGGAACCTGCAACATGGTAGGTAAGATTTGGTTTTGGCAGGACAATGGCAGGTTTATCTGGACACCAAGTTGTCAAGTTACAGAGTTAAGAGACCACAGTAGAGACAGTGATGCGTACGAAAGAAAATGGTGCCTGACTGAAGTGCTCAGAGCTCTAGTAAAGGCAGGTTGTCAAACTGAAGCCTTTCTTTACATGAAGGCTCAAGTCAGTGTGTTAGACTTTTCACTACTGTGACAAATACCAGAAAGGGTTTAAAGCAAAAAGGAAGTATTTTTGGCTCATGACCCCAGAGGTTTCAGTACATGGTTGTTTTGCTGCCTGAGGTAGAACATCATGTGAGTGAGCATGTAGCAGGGCAGAGCTGCTCACCACACGGCAGTCCCAATGTTGGCAGAGAGTGAGGACAAGACAGACCCTCCCAGGGTTCTCCTCTCACAGCCTGCTTCTTCCAGCTAGGCCCCACCTCTTGATTTCCACCACCTCCCTACAGTGCCATCAGGTTTTGAATCTATCAAGGAATTAATCCATTGATATGATCCAGTTACTTCCCACAAAACAATTGGCTACTAGTGAGGCCTTTATTTTTTTTATTAAGACACAGGGTCTCACTGTGTAGACCTGGCTGGCCTGGAACTTACTTACATAGACCAGGCTGGCCTTGAACTCAAGAGATTCACCTGTCTCTACTCCCAAGGGTGGGGTTTGAAGGCAAGCGCCACCATGTCCTTAATCCATGAGCTTTCAGTAGACATTTCTAGCTCAAACCATAACACTTCTTGTTTAATGCCTGGATAAGCTGCCTTTCCAGCTTACAACCCTTGACTTCGTGTCTTGTGGTACCTCTGTAGAATAATTCAGTGATGTCCTCCTCTGTAAACTCGTTCTGAAATCTCCTCAATCACTCATGTTCTGTCCTGGAAGGCAACTTCTGTGAGGATTTGTGAAATGCATGTATAAGTAATCAAGGCGACTTGACAGTCTTCAAATTAGGTATAAGTAAGAAAGGTTTACTAAACAGGCCAGATGTAGTAGCGTATACCTATAATCATAACACTTGGAAGGCAGAGGCAAGAAAATTGCTGCAAGTGCAACATCAGCCTGGTCTGCATAGCAAGTTCCAGGCCAACCTGGACTGTATCAAAAGACCTTATGTCAAAACCAAATGGGAGAAAGAAATGTTAGGTTACACACACACACACACACACACACACACACACCTGGGATGCCATCAAGGAGTATGCCAATTGGTTTGTGAAAAACATTTAAAATAATTAGAAAAGGAAAGTAACAAACAGAGACACAGAATGCTGTGTCAATACACCAGAAGTGGCCACCTGTCATTCTAGCACCCAGGAGGCTAAAACAAGAAGGATGAGTTCTAGGCCAGCCTGGGCTGCATATGGAGATTCTGTTTCAGGAAAACAGAAGGAAACACCATGCTCATGTATTATAAAGATGTATCAAACATATGTAACGCTCTAGTGGGCCATGAATGTTCAGAGTCAGGGAAGCATTCCAACCGTTAACTTTTTAATTGAATCTGAAAGATAGCTGTTGGCAGGAAACAAAAGAGGGCTGATTTTGCAGATTAAGAATGATTACACAAAGGAAAATGTCGAGCTGACAGTATGTATGTGTGTCGTGGGCTCTCTGGACTCTCAGTCTATACTGCTTTCCCAGCTCATAGGCTCTTTTCAGTCTCTCGTGCCCTCTCCAAATGGGCTTGCTTTATTCCCTTCTTCACCCTCCTTTTGTTCCTGTCAGTTGTTTTTCTGTACTGCTTGGCTCCTCTGTTCCTCCCTCTTAATAATTTAGCCACATACCAAGACCTTATTTAAATAACTTTAGTATTTAGTCTACACAGTCTCCGTAACTAGTTTTTATTATATCACTGGAAATATTTTCAGTTTCTTTTTTTCCCCTTCTAGGGTGGAAGCAGAGTCACAGAGCCACAAAGTCAACTCAAACACAGGATTCTTCATTTCGGGAAATGATTATGAGACGATCTAAAACAAATGGACCCTGGAACTTGAAATCAGAAAAACCTTTCGTATATGAAGGCAAATTAGAGAAAAGGCAGGATAAGACTATTTTGATTGTAGAAAGAAGCCATAAAAACAATGACTTTAGCCAAAACTTTATCCCAAAGACAGTCCTCATTAGGGAACAGGTAGTTCCCAGAGAAAAAATATCACCAAAATATGAAAAACAAGAAAACGGTTTCAAGCAGATTGCATATTTATCTAATCAACCAAAAACCACAGCAGATAAACGCTATAAATGTAGTATGTGTGAGAAAACATTCATTAATACATCATCTCTTCGTAAACATGAGAAAAACCATAGTGGAGAGAAACTATTCAAATGTAAAGAATGTTCAAAAGCCTTTAGCCAAAGTTCAGCCCTTATTCAGCATCAGATAACTCACACTGGAGAGAAACCTTACATATGTAAAGAATGTGGTAAAGCTTTCACTCTCAGTACATCCCTTTATAAACATCTAAGAACCCACACTGTAGAGAAATCCTACAGATGTAAGGAATGTGGCAAATCCTTTGGGCAAAGATCAGGTCTTTTTATACATCAGAAAGGCCATGCTGGAGAAAACCCTTACAGATACCATCCTGGTAGGAAATCTTCTAGTTGCAGCACATCTCTTCCTGGTCAAAGAATTCATTCCAGAAAGAAGTCCTACTTGTGCAATGAGTGTGGCAACACCTTTAAGTCTAGCTCATCCCTTCGATATCATCAAAGAATCCACACTGGAGAGAAACCTTTCAAATGCAGTGAATGTGGCAGAGCCTTCAGTCAGAGTGCATCACTTATTCAACATGAAAGAATTCACACTGGAGAAAAGCCCTACAGATGTAATCAGTGTGGGAAAGGTTTCACTTCTATTTCAAGACTCAACAGACACCGAATAATTCATACTGGAGAGAAGTTTTATAACTGTAATGAGTGTGGTAAAGCCTTAAGTTCCCATTCAACCCTTATTATTCATGAGAGAATTCACACTGGTGAGAAACCATGTAAATGTAAAGTGTGTGGGAAAGCCTTCAGACAAAGTTCAGCTCTGATCCAACATCAGAGAATGCATACTGGAGAAAGACCCTATAAATGTAATGAGTGTGGGAAAACATTTAGGTGTAACTCATCCCTAAGTAATCATCAGAGAATTCATACTGGAGAGAAACCTTATCGATGTCAGGAATGTGGGATGTCCTTTGGTCAAAGTTCAGCTCTTATTCAGCATCGAAGGATTCATACAGGAGAGAAACCCTTTAAATGTAACACATGTGGGAAAAGTTTTAGACAGAGCTCCTCACGTATTGCACATCAGCGAATTCATACTGGAGAGAAACCCTATGAATGTAACACATGTGGGAAACTCTTTAACCACAGGTCATCCCTTACCAATCATTATAAAATTCATGTGGAAGGGGACCCCTAGAAAATAAATTTGCATGTGTAAAAGCCTTAAACCAAAGCTCAGAGACTATGTGCTTAAGATGATGTAATAAACAATGGATTCAAGAACTATAATCATTTAGTAATCAGCTGTTAAATCCCCTGGATAAACTGTGTAACAGATCAGAGGGAGAATATTCATGCCTGTCAGCCACTAAAAAATTACTTGAGAGCCAGGCATGGTGATGCATGTCTGTAGCACCAGCTACTAAGGAAGCTGAATCAGGAGGGTTGCTTGAACCCAAAGTTTGAGTCTAGCCTGGGCAAATTTCAAGAGACCCCCAATTTCAAAAAATTAATAACCTGAGATGAATTCACAGCTGAAGATGCTGAATTTGGGCATTTGTAAAATAAAAAGGTGGGGTTTTTTTGTGCAGCAATGTATGCTAGGTGCCATTGTGATCAAAGGCATCTAAGTGAGTAGGGAGGGGTGCTCTGGATTTCTTCTTAGCAAAGCACTAAACTCTATACACTGGTAATAATTTTATAACATTTTAATAACATCCCCAAGAAGGGATCAAAGAAGTTACCCATTATTTAGAAAAAAGGGACCAAAATTAAAAGTTGAACTGTAAACTACCTCTCAGTCTCTGGAGTTTACCCTTACCTTGACTTGATGTCAAACTTTGTGTAGATTTTATTAAAAATGGAAAATAAAAATCTAGTCTCTGCTTTCCTACTAATTGCTGTGAATTTGGAATGTTCTACAAAATTCTGAATTCTCAGAATTTTTAAAAATTGCTTGGAAGTTATGTATTATGAAAGTATGCCTAGTGTTATCCTGAGTGCTGTCATCTAGTATATTAAATATGAAAATGGGCAATTACAGGGAGCTGGAGAAATGGCTTAGTAATTAGGAGGAACACATACTGCTGTTACAGAGAACCCAAGTTCTCAGCACTGTAAGGTGACTTACAACTGCCTGTAACTCCAGCTCCAGGGGAATCTAATACTCTGGCCTCCTTGGGCACCTACACACATGTGCATATACCCATATAGAAGAATGTAAAAGTCTTTAAAGAAGATAGGCAGTTATTTTAAATTCAAGTCTACCGAGTATTTTTCTTACAAAACCTACCAGAAGACATTTGAACACAGCTGTATTAACTGCTAAAGATTGCTGTAGTGGATGCTTGTGAGCCCCTCAAATTCATGTTTTGAAATCCTAACTTTCCAGTGATGGTATCAAGAAGTGGCACCTTTGGAAAAGTTATTAAGCCGTGAGGGTAAGCCCATCATACATGGAGTTAGTGTTCTTAAAAAACAGGCCGGAGGGAACCCATTCTGCTTTTCAGCTTTGAGGATACCACAAGAAGATACCTTTGAACCATATGGTGGTTCACCCCAGACAAGGAACTTGCTAGTTTTTTTAAGCTTGGGCTTACAAGTATGAAGGCTTATCTTTATTGTTAATGTCATTGGATTTAGAATTACCTAGAAGACGCACCTCTGGGCATGTCTTTCAGAGTGTTTGCAGAGAGGTTTAGCTGAGGGGAGGGAATAGCCACCCTAAATGTGGGTGGGATCATTCCATGGACTGGGGTCTTGAACTAAATAAAAAAAGAAAGCCAGCTGAACAGAATGTTTCTTTCTCTGCTTCTAGATCCACCAAGGTGTGAGCAAGCAGCCTCACACTCCTGCAACCTCAGTCTATTACATACACTGTGCCTTCCTTGATGTGATGTACACCTGTACTACTTGTAATCATAGTGACTCATCATATACTGCTGTATTTACAGTTTTAAATTAAAATTTCAATTCCTCATGTGCACCAGCCACAGTTCAAACATTCAGTGCCCATATGTGACCAGTGGCTACCATATATGGGACAGAGGAGACAGAAAACATTTCCATTGTGGGAAGTTGTGTTGAGTATTGCTGTTCTAGACCCAGAGATTTTTTGCTAGAAAGGACCTCAGAAAGCAACTCTATCAGGCCAGGCATGTCACAGTGCTGAGAAATGGACAGCAACTGGAAATAAAATTTGGAATCGCATGAGATAACCCTTGTCTCTTCATAATGGCTAAATTTGGAGGGAATCCTATATGGAAGGAGGCCAAGGGATAGGGAGGGTGAACAGCTTGCTGGGTGACCTGAGATCTGTTTTATTCCATTTAACGTTTAGCAGAATACCACAAGCTGGGTAATTTATAAAGAAAAAATTTTTTTTCAGTACTGGAGTCTGGAAAGTCCAAGGGCCATATCTGGTGAAGGCCTTGCTACATCTTAACATGGTTAAAGCCATCACATGGTTTAAAAAGGGATGGGAGAAGCTGGAGAGATGGCTCAGCAGTTAAGAGCACTGGCTGCCCTTGCAGAGGATCTAGGTTTGATTATTGGCACCCACATGGTGGCTAACAACCATCCAAAACTCCAGTTCCAGGGGATCTGACGCCCTCTTCTGACCTCCATGGGCATTGCATGACACAGGTGCACTTACATGCAAGCAATACACCCATACACATAAAAATAATAAAACTGGACATGGTGGCACATGCTTTTAATTCCAGCAGAGGCAGGCAGAGCTCTGTGAGATTGATGCCAGCCTAATCCACATGGTTCCACACCAGCTGGGGCTGCAGGGAGACCCTGTCTCAAAAAGATGAAAACTAACTAAATAAAATATTTTTAAAACTAAAAAAGACTGAATCTTAATAACAAATCCATTCTCTCGGTACTTAGCTTATTCCAATGTAACAGTAATTGGTTGGTTCATCTAAATGGCCTACCTTTCAACACTGTTACGTTGAAGAGTATGTTCCCAACACATGAATTTTGAAGGACACGTTCAAACAATAGCATTTGTCATCCTTTTCTCACAGCTCTCATTCTTAGTGATCAGAGGTGCTAGTGAGATGGCTCAGCAGTTAAGAACACTTGCTGCTCTTCCGGGGAACCTGAGTTTGGTTCCTAGCATCCATGTTGGGTGGCTCACAACTGCCTGTAACTCCAGCTCTACTATGATATCTGACTCCCTCTTGTGACCTCTTTGGCTATGAGACATCTGAAGACAAATCAGTCACCTATAGGCATGAGTGTTTACATTTGATTGTGACTGCCTGTCCCAGCCTGAGTTCAGTGGCCTTTTATGCCTGGAGCCAGTCTGTGTCTGGCAGGGGACTCATACTAAGTCCTATTTCTTAGTGCAAACTGTGAGCTATTGTCCCACTGGAGTTCCAGCAACAAGCTAGGTACATCTGGGATGGGTCTCGAGACCTAATCATCAACCACTCCAGGATCACTATCTGCCACAAGATTCCAGGGACAACTCTTCACTGTACAGCATACCAACAGTCTGAATGGAACAGCATGATGCCCTGTCCCCATGACACTGAAGCAAATTCCATCTCTCACTCCACTCCTCCCCTGAATACAGCTATGACAGTTGGGCTGTTCCCAGGTGACAGATAACTTAAGAGGACCCAGTAGGAGTGAATGACAGCCTAGGGCTCTCTGCCTGCCAAACCAAGGACCATAGTTGAGCAATGCCATTCTTACATGATCTGGCACTTTTTCTGGGCAAGAAACTGGAAGAAAGTCCAGAAGGGACATTGCCAAAGAGGACTGGGGAACTTCGAGAGATATTGCTCATGGTCAACTATAGAGAACTCCATGGGCTCACTCATGCTAGAATCACACAATGATTTCTTCACTACACTAGAGAAAATGGAGCATCCTCCTGTCCATAGAGCTAGTCAACACACACTGATCCAAACCATTGAGAACTTTTTGAGATCAAACCAAATCTTCATTTTTCTCTCTTGTCAGTTTAAGGAGAAAGAAGGGAGAGGGCAGGGCAGGAAAGGTGGATGTGCCAGGGGCCTTGTTCTTTTCTTAGTTCATTTTCTGCTGCTATAACAGAACATATTGAGTAATTATTAATCACATTGATGTGGTGGTGTTGGGCTGTCTTCGGCCCGGGCCTAAGCCACACCAGGCAAGGGACAGATGTTCATGGCGAATGGGACCTCTTCTTGTTCTGCCTGCGAGCCCCTCGCCTCTCTGGCCCACCGTCGGTGGTGTGTGGAAGGCAGGAGTGCGGTATCCAGCTCGACCTTGCCTCCCCGCCCTACCCTTGCGGTCGGGTGCCCTGACGCGGTAGGCAGGTTCTGTCGCGTCTTTGCCGTTATGGGGCTGTTTGGCCGAGGCCAGAGGGTCACCTCGCCGCGCCACGTGCCCTCGCGATCTGTGACTTGCGCCTCTGCTCCTCGTGTTTGGTGCTCCTGGAGCGCCCCGGAGGATCTGAAGGTGCACGAGGCTGAGTGGCGGTTGTCGTTCCCCGGTCCTTGGCGCCCCTGCTTCCCCATCTTGCCTCTGCGGCGTTGTGTCTCGTTTGGGGTCTGCGCCTTGCTAGAGGCAAAAACGCGGGAGGTCGAGGCAGTAAGGCTGCAGAGCGCCATCCCCCGGGGCATCTGCTGCGCCGTCTCTGGGTGCGGCGGGGACCTCCGGTCCGGTGAGCGCACGTTCGCGTTGCTGCAGCATCCCTGCGGCGTCGGTGCGGAGAGCGTGTGGGCGATTGCGGCGGGCTCTCATAAAGTGAAAGGCTTCGAGAAACCTCTCTGTGTGCTGCAGCCGTTGCCACCCGGCGGCTTTAGAGACCCGGCTGTGTCGGGGATGCCCCAGTTCTCCTTGGCTCCCCTGGGTGCGAACGCTCAAGGTTGCCCCGGAATCTTTACCTATACCGCAGACCCCCCAAGAGGCGCTCTGTGGTCTCCCCCCCTTCCGAGGGCATGCATGTACGCGCTGCACTTGGCGCGATGCGGGCGTCGGGGTGGGATCCGTCCAGCTCTCAGCGAACAAAGCTTCTCTAGCGATCCGAGTAGGGCATGTGGGCGTGTTGGGGAGTCCCGATGCCCCCAGCGTTTGCACGCCCCGTCTTCCTGCTTGTAGCAGCCGCTGGTGACTGAGACTGTCGGCCGCAGGCCGGGGTTGCCCTCCTTTTCCCCCTTTGGGGGGTTGAGGAAGGGGTCCGCGGGTCCGCTCGCTCTTCGCCCACCGCGGCCCGGCCTCCCTGCTCCGAGTCGGGGAGGATCACGCGGGACCGAGCCTTTGTCTCAGTTGCGGTGTCGGACGGGGTGGGAGCCCGTGGAGCGTGCCCGCGCGTGGAGGGCCGCGAGGCGATACGAAGGCGTGGCGGTCGCCGGTCCCCACCCGTTCGGCCTCTGGGCCGCCGAGCGCGCTCCCCCGTGTGCTTTAGCCGGCTCGCCCGGTTCTCCAGGCCGCGGCCGCCGGTGGTGCCCGTGTGGGCTCGGGGGCTGGGTAGCCTCCCTGGGGGCGATTCCACTTGCGGATGCCGGTCTCCTTCCCCCTCCTCGGGGCTGGAACCGGGTCGTGAGGCCGTGGTCCTCGTCGGCTGTGTCTGGCGTGGGTGTCGTCGGCTGGCGCGTCCGTCGGACGTTGGCGGTCGCGCGAGGACCTTTCGGCGGTGGCGGCGACGTCTGCCGCCTCCCGTGTTGGGTCCTCCCGGGTTCTCGGGGCCCTCCGGTCGGTTTTTGCCAGCTCGGTGTCGCAGGCGTGGTGGGTCCGCCCCTGGCGCGTGTGGGGTGCGGCGATCCTACCGCTTCGCCTGCCCGCGGGCCGGGCCTCTGGCGGGGCGGGGCTCCCGGTCCAGAGAGGCGTCTCCCGGGGACCGTTCCCGTCGCCGCTGCTGCCGGCCGGTTCTCGGTTCTCGGTCCTCGGTTCTCATCCGCCGTGTCTCTCCTCGCCGACCCGACCGTGCTGCCGGACCTCTTCCCGGGACCGCGGGTACGCCAGCCGTGGTCGTCGGGGGGCCGTTCGGGGACCGGAGAGAAGTCGAGGGTTTCCCGGTCACGCGACTCGCGGGGACGTGCCGCGGTGTGTGGGCGGCCCGGCGGCCTCTCGCGGGGAGAAAATCTCCTGTCGGTGGAGTGTGTGTGGCGGAAAGCCGTTGCTCTGGACCGGCTCTTGCAGGCCCTCCCGGGCTGTGCGGCTGCCCCGGAGCCGAGGGGGAAATTCAGCTCCCAGCTACTCGGGCGCCTGCGGGCAGTGGCAGCCTCGTGGGGCTGGGGCTGGGGTTGGGTCCTAAGGCATTCTTCCATGCTGCCCTCTTTCAGTGAACGGTATTATGGCATTACCGAGGCGTTATTCATTCAGTCTGTACCTTAGCATATCCCTGTCCGGCAGGAGAGGGCCAGACTTCACAGAGGGAAAAAAAAATCAGGCTGAGCAGAGGGAAGAGATCACGGACGTTTCGTGGGCCTGGCACGGCCCTAGGGCTGTGCTGTAACCGCAGGAGCTGGCGATCTGATGCCTGCCTCCCTTGTCCACAGGAGGGCAAGGGAAGGGGCCCTGTTTTCCGAAGCCTCTCTCCTTGGGTATGATCCACTTCCGTTGTTTGCAGATTCTCACATCATACTCGAGTGACTGTCCCCACTCCACAGCCTGACGCACACTTAACCTACCCCTGCTAGATGGGAGGGGGCAGGAACATTGTTCACAGCTGGAGCATTGTCCCAAATGTCCTGTGATTCTCCCTGTCCTCCATTTTATGCTGACTAACAGGGTTGTTTATCTTTAAAAATTAGTTTTTGGTGTGTAGGATGGG